TACATTTCTTCTCACTTAATTCTATTAGTTCTAAAATAAACTTCTAATATATCTAATGGATTAAATATCAAACTAATCCTCTATACATAATTGCTAACACTCAAATCTAGATGAGCCTTGGCCATTCCAGTTGGTTTAGGTCACAGATAAATTAGTCTGAGCTTCTATTCTTTTTATAATATTTTAAAAACAGAATTGTACTTTATATAAAATCTCAATTAAATATTCAATAAAAATAGAGACATGGCCTTACTATTAATATTAAAAATAATAATAATAATAATTATAATTATGATTGCAGACAATTGCAACCATAATCATAATTGCAGACAATAATTATATAAATAAGCTAAGTTGCTATAATTTTATTTAAAAAAAAAATAAAAAATAAATAAAAAAAAAACTCTTTCAAAAAAATATCAAAACATAATATAAACTCCAATTTCTTAAAAACCAAAAAAGTTACTTGAAATACGTATATAAAAGCTATCAAATTAGTTCTTAAAGCATTTGCTAGTCCCAAACTATCTAGTATATATGCAGCTGCATTAAGTTTTAGTGTTGCAAAAACAACTCTAAGATGTACAAAAAAAAATTGTTTGTCTAACTGCTCTGATCTTACAATGGTCTTGAGTAGTTATAAAGAAAAACAATGAGTAAATTATTGCAAAAATCTGCAAAGCCTAGGATTTGGTTTTATAAGGTTAGGAGTAAACACCTGTATAATGAGCATTATAAAGAGTAATAGTTATGAATATTCTTTTAAAGATGATGGTTCTGACAAGGCCTGCTGAGCACATTTTATAAAAGACTATCTCAATCTATCTTTTTAAATTTCTCAAGTCTTGTTAGCAGTACATGCTCAAAAATTATTATTAAATATCATTTTAACAAATTATATAAAATAATTCAAGATAATTTACTTATCCCAAATTATATTTAGAATAGAGATGAAACTGGCTTTATTATAGCTCCTAAGGTTTAAAAAGTTCTTCTAGAAAAAAGTACCCATCAAATTCATAAAGTTGTACATAGTAACTCCTATAATTATATTTCAGTTGCATCAACAATTTTAACTACTGGTAATTATATCTTTTTATTAATTATATACAAAAGCATTTATGCAATTTTTGGTTTGTTAAATAATGCTCTATCTGATATAGTTATAGGCTTTACTAATTTAGGATATATGCATAAAGAACTCTTACAAATATATATTGAACATTTTATAAGTTCTATTCCTTTTTATTATTCTGTTCTTTTAATGCTTGATAGTTATAATAGTTATATAAATTATATAAATATTAATTTTTAACATGAAAATAGAATTTTATTATACTTATTATTACTTCATACAACATATATTCTTTAGCTATCAGAATTTCCTTTTACCAAACTTAAAAATGAATATAGTAAAAATTGTGATCAACTTCATTATGTAACTAGTAAATTGGTAACTAAATACATATTTGCTAAAATGCTTGGTCCTATATTTATCAAGACTTATACTCTTATAACAATAACTAATGTTTTTAGAGCTACAGACATTTGGTCTTTTAATCCTAATACCATTAGCTTTTATCATCTCAATCCCTCTTTAATTACTGAATAAATTGATATCTTATCTTCATTCTCTCAACAAACTAATTATTTTTCTATATCATCTTTTTTTATATTATCTTCTTTCATATTATCTTTTTCCATACCATCTTTATTTGCACCATCTTTTTTTATATTATCTTCTTTTATATCATCTTTTTCTATATCATTTTCTTCAAACTATACATGCTAAAGTTACTGAAGAGAACAAATTATTAAAATTAGAAATTTATATTTTAAAAAGAGAAAACATATTACTTAAAAAGAACTTGAAATATTTAAAAATTCTGGTATCTGTCTATTAAAACTAGCCCTTAAGTATTCTAATTCTTAAGTTTTAATACAGATCAAGAAGAAGTTTAATCAATTAAAAAAATAAAAAACTTTGCCATTTGCCTAACTTCTTACTAATGAAGATTCTTTAAATACTATAAAAAAAGCAGTTAAGTTAGCAAAAATTAAAAAAAAAAATACAAAAAAAAGAAAAAAGAAAGCAATCCAGAAATGAGTTAATTAGAAAACTAAAAAAAAAAAAAAAATGAGAGTATGTGAAAAAAAGAAGAACATTTATATAAAAAAAAAGACAATTATGCATAGTTATGCTATGTTATACTTATTTATATAAATTTCTATATATATTTTGTAATACTACATTGATATTAATTTGACATATTTGATGTGCACTATAATATCTTCCAAAATGTTAAAACTATAGTATTTTTTGAGTAAAGTTTGAAAGACCATATTTTTAATTTTTTTTTTAAAAAATATCAATTTTTTTTTTATTGGTAAATAGTTAATTTGATAAATAATTTATTTTAATAAATTTCAAGAATAAATATAATTTTTTTGAAAATTTTTATATAAGTAACTTTTAAATACATCATAATAGCCTATTTCATCTTATAAGATTTTTATTACATTCTAATCAAATTTTATTCTAATAATTAAAAAAATAAACTTTAGTATAGAATATAGGATATATAGAAGATTATAGTTAGTAAACTGTTTTTTAACTATTTTATTTAAAAGATCCTTAATAAATGAACATAATATTAAAAAAACTTATGTTCTGAAGTTTACTACTCACTCTATTTCATAAAACTGTTATTTGTAATTTATTTATAATTTTTTTTGCTTAACGAACTAAATTTTGACAGCCCAGTAGTAGTATATTTTATATATTGCCTCTTTTTCAGTATATTTTTATTTAGTAAATCTTTAATATAAAAGTTGTTGAATTCAAATGGATTCAATTGATTTTATTAAAATATGTTATGAAAGTTTCAAGTTTGCTTAGTAGACTTGACCACGTTTCATAGCAGAGATAAATTACACAAGCTTCCTAAAAAAGTATTGTAAAACGTATATAAAAAAATTTTTTATCAATTGTGTAATGATCTTCAAATTGATGGGATGGTCGCTCCTGTTGATTGAAGATCACTGAACCCAGTGATATCTTCGTGATAATCATATCACATGGTAAATCATTCGGCCTAAGTTAGGATTAGTGTTAGGATAGGTGATAGTATAGTTTATGCCGATTTTGCTAGTGCTAGTAAACAAATGATGTAATTGCATAATTTAACGTGTGTGATTATCACTGGGTTCGAAGTGTCCCAATATTTATAGGGGCAATACAATTATTATATTATTCTGGGTGGTTCTGAACTCTTGGACGATACTCTTGTACTGTTCTCTTGGGAGGGGGAAATTCCACCCTTTTTATAATGAATTGACAGCACAAGACCACGACTCTTCTCATTACTCCCAACACTTCCCAACATAATTTGTTATAACCTTTAACCCATTCCATACAGCCTTTCGTTACTTTAACATTTCTCACAGCTTTCATAGAACCGATGAGAAATGTTTCAGTTTACTATCCCGGGGCCAGAACCCATCATATTGTCTTCAATCGCACCCCCCTTGACATCGCCTCACACCTAACCCAAGTAAGGCAGGTGGAGTCAACGTCCATTCCCAGCGCAACAGGTTGGTCCAGGTCGACCTTACTTTAATTGGAGGGGTGGTTGGGTCCCGCATGGAGGCTTGTGTACTTTCATATGGCTTCTTTGGGGCCGGGCGCACATGTTTCAGATGGATCGTCATGGGCACCTCCAATTAGGTAAGTATGCCACAATGACGTCCATTTCGCAGGTTCTATAGGGTGTCGGTTTTACCTCTGACAACAGTCAACTGGAGTATCTTTGTGCCAAGAAAATCTCGAGTTACCGGCCAAAAAATATGGGTCGTAGTATCTCAAAAATTCCCTATATATTTGACATTAAAAATTGTTTTTTATAAGTAAAATTTCATTCTGAAAACTTTTTCTTACAGGACAGAAGTTAGTTACCATGGTAAATTTTTACAATTTCTTATGTTTTTCGCGTTTGATTTGTTACACAAGATCCTGTGATTTTATTGGATTTTCTTGACATAAGAAGTTAATTGTAGTTTGAATTTTATATGCATTCGTTGAAAAACTGTCAATCTGCCTTTTTTGGGTTAAATCTCACAGAGCAGAGTGATGAATATCAATTCGAACAGGTTTGAATGCTATCTAATTATACGATAAATTGATTGCCCAAAATAACAAGGTTTAACAGATTTAAACTATCATTACAGGTAAAAAGCCACGGGTAAGGATATTTACCCGATTCGATCTTGATTATGAGAACAAGAATGAATTGTCCAATCTGTACGTAATACAAATGTAATAGTCCGATTTCTTAGATCAACGATTTTACTCGTACCAAACTTTATGCTAGAGAACATATATACAGTTTCATGGCAAGATCACGCTGTCCAATGATACGCATACACTAAGTTCCTAGAAATAAGATTTTGCACCCGTACATCAATTCATCCACGGATAGGCCATACACTCGTTTACCCGATTTATTAAACAGCAAACCGTTGATGTTACACGACTAATCCTTCACCTGGTGTGCAATACATAAAAAAAATATTTTACAATACTAGATCATTCCGCTAGTACATATTATGATTATAATCCAACACCATTTTTATTATAATAAAAATGGTGTTGGATTATAATCATAACGTGTACTATCGGAATGATCTAGTATTGTAAAATATTTTTTTTATGTATTGCACACCAGGTGAAGGATTAGTCGTGTAACATCAACGGTCTCATGTAGATTTATCAAGAGAGTGATCCCTTGTTGAGCCGTACGTATTTGTGATGACTATATTCGGGAAATCTCCTCGATGCTGATTGTTGTATAATAATATTACAGTTTATCGAAGGATTTAATCGAGTTTTGTAGCAAATTTGGATAAATACAGTAAGTATTTCATCTTTTTTTTCTTTGTTTAGACGAAAAATTTTTTATTCAATCATTATTTTTTTTTAAAAAAAATTTCTTTCGTGAAAAATGCTTTATTCTTTGATACTTCCTGGTCTTGAATTATCCTTAAAAAATTTTATTGAACAACATCTTCCTATTTCCTCAACTAATGTAACCATCAATGATTTTGATGGGTTCCTAAAATCAATAAACGATGAGATTATAAATGAACGAAAAGACGAATTGCTGGAATTTTTTATACATCGATTTCTTTTAAAGAATGGAATACTCTCTTATATTAATAAAACATTTATTTATTTTAGCCAGGGGAATTATCGAAAAATTTCGGATGGTAATATCGATATTCATGGACAATATAAAATTTTATTTTTCCTAATTCGAAGTAAATGGTAAGTTTTTTCTTACTAAATACTGGTTAACTAAATACTTTTTAGCATAAATTTGGAGTTTTTTTTCAACAAATATATGTAATTATCTCTTGACAATCCGATGTGTAAGTTACGCTGCGGTTGAGTGAGGTACAGACTCACGGTGGTTCTGGGGAGATACAAAGTATACGCAGAATGTAATTTCTATGAGGGAATTTGTGCAGTCGCATTTACAATTTTTTTTTTAACCTATAGGCTGAATCCTAACTATAAAGTTGAAGTTGAAGAAGTACGTAAATTGTTGAATGTTATCTCTAAAAAACCCGAAACATTCATCGGATTTCTTGTCACAAATGTGCCATTAAGTGATTATGCACAAAATGAATTAGAGGAATCCATACTTAAGCATAGGATTTGTGTTTGTTATTTTGACGAAATAGTTGATAAGATATTGGAATACGCACAAATCCTAGAACAAAATCAAGAAGAAGAAGAAATGGAGTTGGAAAAGAGAAAACGTAAGTGTAACGAATTAGAATGGGAAAATAATTTCCTTCGAGAAGAAAATAAAAAACTCAACGAAGAGAGTAATGAAGAATTTGATGAAGCGAGTTTTAAGAAACTTAAAGATGCAGCCAAAGATCTTGAGGATAAGATTGAAGTCCAAAGTAAGGAAATCAATGGAATACTCGATTTGATATTAAAAAAACTTGGTTGAATTGTATTTAAAATAAGATAATAAAGAAATTCTAAATTTCATTAGCTTATAGATATGGGTTATTGTTTTCGAACATGAACTGAAATTACTAATAGCGTTTTAAGATGTATATAATTTTATGATTTGATAGTGATCAAATTTTGCATATTAGTAATGTGATTCGGACTCCAAATATATTATGTGTGACATGTTTCAACTGACCAACCTGACCTCAGACCTAATGATAAAATTATTGGGGCTTACTAATTTACCCCACTACTTTTGATTGGACGAATGCAGATCTCGCCCCTCATTGGGCAAAATATCTACATCACTGATCGACGAGACAAAATGTAGTCATTTATGCGCCACATAAGTGTAATAAATTAAATTAATTAAACCAAAATTTCCAATTTACATCACAGGTAATTTTTACCTGTAATAAATTGTTTTTTTTTTTTTTTTTTGTATTGTATTGTAACTACTATGTAGTGCGTAACTACTATATAGCTAATATGATAATAAATAAAAAAACAAGTCATTGTTTCAATTAGTAATACATAAAACCAATACGGCTATTTATGTATTATAACAACAATACTGAGATTATAATGTGTAATTTGTAACTATAATACATACAATACATATTACAAAATTAATAGACCCTTTTTCAATTAACATTAATAAAACTTTCATAGAAGAAAGGTTTGTATTATAGTTGTATTGTATTGATCTATGTATATACAATGGAGTAAATTAATTTTATTATATTAAGTATTTTCATTTTTAAGTTAGTGCATATGCATAGATTAATACACTATAATTATTATATGAAACTTTCAGTTACAAAAATTCTATTGATATTATTAGAATATCAAGGTTTCTGTAATAATTATCTAAAACAATATCATTATAATTCTAATGCACTCATTTTACTACTATTTTGTAGATATAAATTTCATATACATAATAATTGTATATAATATATTAAGAACCTATGTATATGCACTAACTTGAAAATTAAAAATACATAATTTAGTAGATCTTATTTGGAAACTCTGCTTATAATTCTACATATATACATACTATATAATTATATATTATTGAACTGATTATGTGAGGGGAAGTCAAGTTCAGAATCAATATAAAGTAGTTTAAATCAGACAAATCAATCAGATCTGTCAAATCTGTCATATATAATCTAAATAGCAGAAAAATAAATAATATAAAGCATATAATGCAAATAAAGGTAATTAGAGCAGATTTGTCAGAAAATATTTTATAACAATAAAAATGTATATAAAAATATATGCTTCAAAAGTACTTATGTTAAGAAATTCTGAGTTGTTGGTCAAAAAAATATAGATAATAGTATCTAAAAATTTATTATATATCTAACATTAATAATTGTGTTTTATAAATAAAATTTTATTCAAAAAACTTTTACTTAGAGGTCAAAAGTTAGTTATTATAATAAATTTTTGTATTATTTACATTTTTTTTATAATTTCTTATGTTTTTTATATTTTTTTGTTATATGAGATTCTGTGATTTTATTAGATCTAAATAGAGTCAGAAGAGATCTTTAGTGATCTTTAATATAAGATTTTCTTAACATAAGGACACCTATATTCTCTTATCTTGAATAAAGTAATTTAGAGTTCAACATTGTTAGGTGTTTTACTTTACTAATTTCCCAATAAGAAAATTCATATAAAATGGTTTTAAATTAAAACACTCAGAAAATATGTACTAGTTGAGTTACAAATCAGATTTCAAAATTGTATATAATATAATATATTTGTTTACTTTGCTAAAAATCACTTACAACTTAAAAATTAGCATATGAAGTTATCTTTTAGGCTCTAACAAAAAGTTTTTGTTTAACAATTTTACTATTACAACTATTTCTCTTTAACTCCTAATTCTAACTCTAATCTTAATAAATTTTAAAAATTTTGTCTAAGTCATAATATTTTCTGAGTGCTAAATTAAAACCTCATTATACAATAGAGTTCAAAGTTGAAACCTTGATTTCTCAAATGAACCTTTCAGATTAGATTAGATTGTGTTGCTGGTTATTATTATAGCATTAATATGACTGATACTTAACACCTTTTACAGTATTAGACAACACTTATTTGTCTTTTTATTAAAGAATATATATAAAACTCTTAATTTTTCATTTAGCTTTATACATATGTTATAACTATACATTAAAAATAAATATACAAGAATATGTTTGTTTCATCAAAGCATAGTATTCTCTATAAATTAACTATTTATATAGCTGCTTATGCTCAATTATTAGATATAATTTACTCAATCATAATATGGAATTTTCTTATAATCAATCTATATATAGAACTACTTATGCTCGATTATTGGCATTTTTAATATATATTAAATTAAATGCTTATTTGGCAAGATTATATCATTCACTATTTATGTTTTTGTCTTTTTTTTTCTACTTAAATTCTTATACTGCAATCTGACTATAGTGTTTTAACTATAATTACAGTCTTGAGCCACAGTTAAACTAATTAAAAAAAAAAACACTAGTCAAAGAGCTAATACTATAGTAATAGTCTATAAGCCACAATTGCTTTAATTATACAATAATAGACACAGAGCTGGCAATAGTCTGTAAGCCATGATTGGTTCTTAATTTTGATATTTTTTTTCTGGAACAGATAGTATAGAGCTAGCCTATTAATAAGTTAAGCAATAGGAATTTTTATGCAAAGAATTTTATTACATCATAGGATCTTCAATGGCCTTCTCAATATATAATTGGTCATATGTTACATTATAATCTTACAGTAATGCAGCCTTGTAACAAGCCAGCCACTAATTACAAAAATACATATTGCTTTCAAATATATCCATATATACTAATCTCTAAAAAGCCAAAATTAATTTTAATCTGTATGATAAAATAAATTAAATAACTTAGACTTCTATTACAAATTTTTATTCATATGAATGCTTATATGCTCTTAAGAAATTTGTGAAATAATTAAAAGACAATTATGAAATTTTGTTAATAAGTATGTTTATAAATTATAGAAAAATTGCAGAATAATTATGAGATAATAGTGATATGTTGTAGAATATTGAAAATACAAAGGTTCATACTTTGCCTTACATGGCATGTAGATTTTAATAATAAAAATGTCTAATACATAAATATTTCTCTAAATACAACTTCTCTAAACTCTTAACATCTATAAAATATAATATTTTAAGTCATTCTTTGAATGCACTTAAAGAAGTTTGAGAACTATATAACTTCTTTTTTTTTTTACCCAAAACATAAACTTGATAAGGAATTCAATTTTGTATAGTTATATACCAAAAAGCATTGCATATACATAAATACATATTATGTATCAGAATGCATCTAACTTATAAAGTCAAATATTAAGTTTATTTATTTTTATTGAGAACATGCAGTGTACATTAAATAAATGGTTAAAATTATGCCAAGATCTCTATATTACAATATTTTTTAATTTTCTAATACATAAAAAAAAGAACAGTAATGCCAAACCAAAGTTGGTAAATATAAAAACTGCAACTTTATATTTTTCAGTTGAGTAACAAAAAAAAGAAAGGTATAAAACCTTAAATTATTATAATTCTTAATATTTGCTTATAAATTTGTATAAATGCAAATTTTTGAAAATGACTAAATATTTTAAGATTATATGATATGTATAAATCTAATTCAGATACTAAAACAGATTAAGGCTTAATATGCCATAATTATAATAATTAATATATATAAAAATATTATATATACAAGTATTAAGGTAGAAAAATACTTACTGAAATTGTATATGCCTCTTTACTGCTACATCATATATGTTTTAATTTATAATCTTGCTATCATAATGCTCACAACAATGCAATTGTATCAATAATAATATAACTATACAATCAATAAACTTTTAACTAAAATCTATATGAATTTTTTGCAAACTATTATAAAAGTAAAAATTAATTATATAAATTTAAGCAAAAACAATTACTAGTCAAAAACTAGAAATTCGGCTAGGTGGAATTACAATAACATTCAGCAAAAAATTGGCCAATTTTTTAAAATCAACTAATAAAAATTCAGCTACACCAAATCCTACATTAATCTGATCTAACTTAACCAAAAATTTGGTATTCAAATTTTAACAAAATTTGATCATTCCAATTTTTACATTAATTCAACCTAAATTTAGTCAAAAATTCAGAGTCTGAATTTTAATAAAATTTGATTATTTCTATTTTACATTAATTCGATCTAAATTAGTCCTTTCTGATTTCTACATTAAAAAAAATAATACTAAATTTTAATAAAATTCAGCATTTCTGATTTCTACTTTCAAATCAGATGATCATTCAGCTAAATTCAGTAAATTTGAGTTTAGTGTTCGATAGCATCAAATTCGACCAAAATTCAGTGATTATAATTAGCTTTATAATAAAACATTGAACCATATCTGAATATTAAATTAAAGCATATTATAATCAGTCTTATAATCAAAAAATGAATTATATTCAACTTCATAATTAAGCATTGAATTATATCTAATATAAAATTAAACCACATTTGACTTCATAATCAAGTATTGAATCATATCTGAATATTAAATTAAAGCATATTATAATCAGTTTCATAATCAAAAAATCAAACTACATTCAACTTCATAATCAAGCATTGAATCATATCTGAATATTAAATTAAAGCACATTATAATCAGTTACATAATCAAAAAATCAAACCACATTCGACTTCATAATCAAGCATTAAATTATATCTGAATATTAAATTAAAGCACATTATAATCAGTCTTATAATCAAAAAAATTGAATCATATTCAACTTCATAATCAAGCATTGAATTATATATGAATGTAAAATCGAACTATATTCAACTTCATAATCAAGCATTGAATTATATCTGAATATTAAATTAAAGAGCATTATAATCAGTTTTATAATTAATAATTGAACCACATTCAACT